GGCTCGGAGGCCCCCGGGGACTGGGAGGCGCCAGGGCCCGGCAGTGGCCGGCTGTGGGCTTTCAGCCACTTTCCCTGTCTCCAGGTCGGTCCCGGCGAGGGTGGCTATTTGAGGCGGCGGCCAATTACGTGGCGGACCAGGGGCATCAGCTGGCACGTCACTTCCGACTCGCTGAGGTTCGGCCTTTTAATTTCCAATGACTAGGTAGGTTCTCCCGGCGGCTGGCTTCCAACGCTCTTCGTCCTGACCCAGCCGGGCAAGCCTTGTGGACCTCGCCCTCCTCCCCCGCCGTCCCCGAGCCTCCAGAGCTGATGCGCGACTCTGCTTCCACTTAGGGTCGCGCGTCCCACGGCCCGGGCGTGCTGTAACAGGTTACCTGGGTGAGAGCCGAGGCCGTGCAGTTTCTCCGCGGGGGCAATGGCACTTGGGGTGCGGAGGGGTGGGGGAGCCCCACACTTTTGCATTGTAGCTACCCTTCCCCGCCTTGCTCTCCTAATGCTAGAAGGTTCGCAGGTTTGAGGTTTTTGAAGAAGGCGGTGAAGACTGCTGGTGCCCCTCAGGAGGAGTTAGTGCTAGCGAGGTAGGACTTTGCCAGTGACAAAGTGGCTTGCCCCACCCTACCCATCTCAGCCATTGGCATGAAGCAGCCTTGAATAGATGAGCAAATTTTAGTGTGTCCTCGATTAGGAGGTGGTTGGACTTGTTCATGTGTACGTTTTTTGTGATTCTGTTTACAAACAATGTGCAGTATTTAACCTTTCACCCTGGGAAGCAGAAACTATTTGCTTGCATAAAACAGGATCAGATGTCCGAAATGCAAAGATTTAGGATCAAACTTGTTAATTGTAATAGATTTGTTTGTTGTCTGTTTTTACTGTTCCCTTTTTCTTGGCAGCCGATAAACTGGAAGATTAAATTCGAGAAAACTACACTTACAGTGTTAACTTTGTTCCCACTCATGGCTATTTGCCTGTAGAGATTTTGGCGTCAGCTTTGTTATACAGTTCAGAAACACCTTAATTCTAAGGTAAGGAACTTTGAAAGCCACTAATTGGGCTGTGGAAAGAGAGTGATGCTGGTGAGATTTGCTTCTGCTATTGGTTTGTTAATTTTGTAGTATTTAAATTTTAAATACTCTTTTCTGGCTTTATGTTTGTAGATGATCAAGACAGTGATTAAGGGCCAGGGATTTAGCTCAGTGGTTCCACCATCTGCCTTGCAAACACAAGGATGCGAGTTCAATCCCCAGTACCACACACACACACACACACACACACACACACACACA